ACTGGACTTTTCGGCAATCAGCGGGCCTAAGGCCGCGCTGATAACCGAGGGAACGATCAACCTTGATCATCCTGACGGACATGTGTAGAATCACTGCGAAGACCGCTCGATCATAATAACGTTGCTCGGGACAGAGGCTCGGGCAACCGCGGCCCAATACGTGGTCGAACACACTGGCGCAGACCCGAATAACCCTGACAGGGTAATGCTGCAAGGAGAAGCGAAACATACGGTACCGCCAATTATCGAGACCATAGTGGATGACAACTGGTTGGTCCCTGTACAGAAGATGCAACTGGGTCTGCGGCCTGTAAGGACTTTGGCGATTGTCCGTGAAATTATCAGCTCCTTTATATCAGAAGGACATTTTATTGGATACCCGGGGCGAATAATTCGTCCCGATGTAGCGAGCGCAGAGAATATTTCTACGAAGCGACGGACAGATGAGTATGCTCTAGACTGCCGTATTCGTGCTGCTGTTCAAACGGATGACATAATAGAGAAATGGGCCCGTAATATGGGCAGGAAAGTGCAGAACGATGTCCGTTGTCAGGGTGCTCTCATACAAGAAGCCATTTCTTGGCTTCAGGACAAATATCCTGATACTGGAACAGAGATCCAGGATCAAGCGGATGGGCCCTTCCGCGCTGCATGCGGAAAGTATGGCGTCCCAGCGGCGACTGCTGCTGGGAGTTTATTACAATTTATGCGAGATCATGGAAACGATGATCTGTACCACGACGGCCAAGCCGACCTCGTGGGACCGAGATGGGCACCGGATGAGGCGAACGCTAGACCTTTGACGCCTCCCCCGCCGATTTGACCTGACGTCCCAGACGTTCGGGTTCCTGATGATGCCGCCGAGTCCCCGCGGTCGGTCGCCGGCTCAGCCGTGACGACAAGAGAAGCATACCCGTACTACCCCAACACTTGGGATCGGTCGGTGCCCCAGCGCGCGCGCGATGGCGCCATGGATGCTGGCGGCGGCGCTGCTGGCTACGACTATCTCTACGACCAGTCCCTGTCCTACCCGCGCTACGTAGACAATATTCATGTCGGGTACTATGTCCACAGGGACCGTGTCACGTGGCTGACCGACGAAGAGTGGTGCACTCTGGATTACTGGCACATACTGTCTACGTATTTGCACGACAGAGGGGAGTTTTCAAAGAACAAGGGGCAGATTTGCAGTGCATCAGATCAGGAGCGTTTCCGCTCGCCTCGCGGCGGAGAAGGATGCGCTGGATGCGCGGCGTCGTCAAGCCCGCCGCCGCCCGAGCCGCCCGTGGAAGGGTGCAACCCGTGGGGGAACCTGAACTGAGTATTGCCCGCGTGACTCAGTCGCTGCAGGCGCATGCAAGAAAGTTCTCGTCCACGCGCGATACGCGTGATGGATGAGTATTACCTCTGCTGGCCGGTTAAGCCGGACCAGCGGAGAGAATCTATTTAACATGATGGTGGGAATCGTCGAGCCTCCTCGGCCCTGGGCTCCCTGGCAGCCACCGTTGAGCCGTGCAAGTTTTTGGGGTTGGCTCCGGTGGTTGTGCATGTGTATAGGCCAGGGGTGCCGTGGCTGGATGGGTTCTACGAGTTCCGCCGCGGGGGGAGTAAATATGCTCCTCTCCGCCTCATATTCAATTAGAGCTTAAGATAACTTGCGTGCTCCGCACTCTCTGCCTGAACTACTGCTGCATCCTGCAGCTGTATTGACTGCTCAAACAAGCCAGCCTTGGCTTGTAGGAGAGAAAAGGAGCGTGCCAGCCCTCGGCCGTCGCGCGTCGTCGGTCGTAGGCCAGCCGGCCTCCTCCCTACACATTCTTGATAGAGTGATCTTGCTTAACGGGTACTTGTCTTATCGATGTCTCATCCCGTCCCCTCTCTCCCTGAGCAGAGTGAACGTGAGATCTTAATTCCTTTGGCATCTTATCCCGATTCTCAGAGGAAAGACTCGATGGCGTGACGGTGATGACGATGGTGACGAACAAAATGAGCCCGACTGGGGATGAATGCGACTTTGAAGACGATTATGCTTTATGCTGACGATGATCGTGATGATAATGATGAAGATGATGGTGGTGGCGATGATGAAACTGATGATGACGATGATGGTCATGATAATGATAATGATGATGAGTATGATGATGATTACGATGATGATGACACTGATTGTACTGATTACTATGATGATGACGACGTTGGCGAGTTATTTCGACGACTGTAAAGTTAACGATAACGCTAACGATCACGACGAAGGTGATGACGATGTTGATGCTCATGATGAAGTTGCAGCTGATGCTGCTGTTGATTGTGACGATGACGAAGATGCTGATGATGATGGTGATGGTGATGATGACGATGCTGATGCTGATTATGACGACGATGGTGATGATGATGATGCTGATGATCATGTTGTTGACGATGGTGATGCTGATGATGATGCTGCTGATCATGATGAGGACGATGATGATGATGACGACGATTTTGATGACGATGACGATGA